GTACAACTTCACTTTTTACTGAAATCTATACCAATTTGGAATTAAAAAAGATTTAACATTGCAACTTATTTGATGATAGCTTTCAAATCTCCAAATCCAGTTTATACATAAATACAAACATTTTAGCACCTAAATCCAGTGTATTAAAAACATAAATGTCAAAAAAATGAACCCTTTTTATTTCGGGCATAACTCTCCAAATTTGTTAAATTTGAGTAAACCTTGAAGAGGTTTCACAAGGCAAAGTGGGTAAATGTTTTTACCGAACAGGGGGAAAAAAATGAAAACATTTATTTAAAAGTTGTTTCAGCAAAGCATCATAGGGTGTGTGGACTCATGCAAGCAAAATTACTGCAACATATTTTTTTCTGATTTATTTTCCAAATAAATTGTACGAGATAAACATCATGAATCTGAACCGTACAGAAAACGTTTTGAAATCATTTTTCATGCCCTCATTTTTTTAAAAACAGTGCAAAAACCTGGAATCTGAACAGTGGTGTGAACCTTTTCAAGTAAGTGAAGGTTCTTCCACGAACCTTCACCGTTGTCACTCAGTATTTTCAGCAGGGAACAGAATCGTGGTTTGATTCCTTTTTAAAAAAATAATCTATCTAAATATAAACACAACTGAAAGTGCTACTGAACATCACCTAACGTGTTCCTAAGAACATAAGCAGCTTGTTTGTTTTAGATGCATACAACGTGTGTCACCGTGCCTACATACATGACCTAATCTCTTGTCAACAGTCATAGCTGTGCATATGTCTTAGTCATAAGCCAGGGAGGTTTTCGGTGCGTCATGCTGCTATTCTTTGAGTGCAATATGCAGAATTCAAAAAGAAAACAAGCTGCCATCTCAACTTTTGATTTGCATAAGTTTTAACACCAAAATGCTCAGTTTTTCTTCTTTTTTTTTGTCACATAAGATGTTTTATTTTACCTCTGTTCATTTGTTCTTCTTATCAGGCATGTCAAAGTGCCTGATAAGTGCTATCCAGTGAAACTCGTCCTGAGATGCCTTCTCAAAGTACAGCGCTAAAAATAAGTGCTAATCAATGTGTAGGTCTATTAGTGAAATAAATAAAGCAGGGAGAACCTAAGAGAAAGTGTTTTGTTGACTCTTGAAGTAAACAAATGCTCTTACAAAGTTTTCTAAAAAATGTAAAATTACATTTAGGTCTTTGCTTTGTGCTATTTCCAACCTGACAAATCAATGAGATCCAGGAATCCAACAATCTTTATCATTCGTTTATTGTTGCTGGCAGGTTAAATATTCAGATATTTCACTCTCTCAAGCAGTGGCATCCATACTTTTTGCCCCATGGGCCAAAACTGGCAAATTCAAACAACTGATTTTTATTTTATTTAATTTTTAATTAGCTAAATTAAAAATACAGACATTATATACAAACATAAAACTAACATTTCTATGATATTGGAATGTCATTGGAGATCTAGAGCATAAAAAGGGATTTGGACTGTTGCCCTTTAGACAGAAAAGACCATTTTTAATATTTCTAGATTCTCAATTGTTTTCTGTTCTGTTTGCCAAATGTTTATTATTCCAGACTTGTATCAGGGGTCGAACAATATTATTTTAAGGGCCACACTTTTTCTAAAGACTTATCCAAATTATTTCAGGCCTTTTGTTTACTTTACTGGTAAGACATGTATTCCCCCCCAAAATTTTTTATTTTATTAGGTCTTCGTTTATTATTGTTGGTACAAGCCAGAAAAAAAGAGAGACAAAAACTATAAATAAACCAATAATTTTATTACCTTAGTCCATATTGAGCACTTTGTGCAGCCGTGCTATTACCCAGCCTATTTAAAACCACAAAATCAAATTGTCTGATAACCGTTCACCGCTGCCCTACAACCCCTCTCACTAGAAGGATGCAGAGGACGCCTCGTTTGGCTGAAAAGCCAACATCAGCAGCAGCAGCAGCAGCAGCCTAAGATGCAGATGGCTCTGTTACAAAACTCTAAGGGGACGAGCATGAAGGAGACTGTATAGGTGCAAGAGGCACACAGAGAGAAGGACGAGCACGAAGAGGGAACTAATGCTCAGCAGCTGCAATCAGTATCAGCTTTCTGAACAATCATCTTTGACCGGCTCGCACGCTTTTCTGCACACGCTCACTCGCTTGCTCATGCTAAAAACTGGAATGTGTTTTGAAAACACTATGATTTGGTCGTCTTCATCTGAGCCTTGCATCACAACAAACATGTCAACTCGAGGAGTTAATATGACACAGAGTCTAAACAGTGCTCTGATGAGGAATGCAACATTGTCGTATAAACAGTATGACGAGAGAAATTCACCTGATGGTCAAAACCCCGTAATGTGCCAAATACTCCCAGGGCCAAAGTGACGATTGAAAGATTATAACACATAGAAAAGCAGAGAGTGGATTAGCGTCCTAAAATAACCAGATGTTTGCCTCTGAGACGTAGCAGACTCATTTGTAAAGTATTGCATTTGCTCAAACTGTGGAGACATTCTGGGAATTAACGGAATAAATCACACAGAGCAACATTAGGTTGAAAGCAAACATTTTCTGACTCACACTCTTATATCACTAGCGTGAAACAATTCAAATAAAATTGAAATATATTTAGTCTTTTTATTGAAATACAAGTTTTCAGTTACATCAATTTTTCCATATACTTTTCTAAAATACACCAGACATTAGGGTGTGAAGTATGGCTTGTGCAGTAGTCATGGTTTGTTATCTACCTGTTTTAATAATTCATTTTTGATGTAGCAGTGTGATAAAGGTCTGCTGCTTTGGTTATTGGATGAGGTCCACTCTATCAAATCAAGGCTGAGTTTTCTTCAACCAAATATTGATTATTCATGGCACACTGTCATTGATACCTGACTATAAAAAGAGATACAATTTTGTAGTCTGTTTTTTTTTTTTTTTTTTTGTCTATTGTGACAGGTTCTACGTCCATGCGTCCAGTTTAATAAAACAGATATAAATATTCTTAAAAAGCAAAAAGCAGTGAAATTACTCTTCAAATATTTGAATGAATTCACAATGACTTGATGGCAAAAAATCTTTGGACACCAAAATAATACAAATAAAAAAGGCATCTTCAATTCTCTATTATAAAGAAAGTATAATTTGTTTGCTCTTGCTAATGTTCTTTCTGGTGGTATACTATCTAGACATGGAGACGGTCAGCTAAAATTTTGTGTTTTAAAATGTCCCACTTTACGTGTCTCAGAGTGAAACACTAGCAAAAATCAATCAATCAATAAATAAAATCCCCAATTTCAATAATATTGTTTAACGTATAAACCTTTATCTCAATTACACAGATCGACAAATCCAATGACTTATTGAGTCCAATGATGAATATTTATTATTCATTAGAAATGAATAATAAATATTCATTACAATCCAAGCAAATCATGTTAAGGCAAATTACCTTTTTGGCTCAAATTAAATGCTTAAAGCACAACATACAACACAAAGTTACAATAAATAAATAAATCAAGAAAGTTTTCTGGAATTTGCCAATAGAAATAATTTTAACTGACCTAAAAGTGACTTCAGACAGTGAGAAAAGAAACGTGTTTTTACTAAGTGTATGAAAACATCTGGTCTCAGTGGTGACCCATGCCAGAAACTGAGTCTGAATGCTGCGATAAAGTGACAAAGTGGGCCTTTGATTCATTGATTCATTGCTTAACGAGAGAAAAAAAAAATCAAGTTTTAGAGTCCCGTGCGTCATTTTCTCGAAGTTAACGTCACCCCGTTGTCCGAAAGGGCGCATGCGTGCTGGGGTAGCAGGCGCACGCTTCATTATTTTACATAGTGGCTTGCCTACATAATAAAAGAAAGCAATAAGCAGGCAGAGCTTGGTGTGCAATGATGAAGCAGCGGTTTACCGGGAGAGGACTGAGATGACGGTGGATTGAGCGGGTGGGCCCTGAAGGGGGAGATGAGGGAGGCAGTGGGGCCATCAGAGGTCTGCATAAAACGCGTCCTAACACACGCCCCCTCATGCGGCGGATGTGAGGACCTGCCATGTGAAGCATCGATCGCCTTCTCGCATTACGCACACGCACGCCGAAAGGTGAAAGCGACGGCACAGGTGCAGGCGATCGCGACGGAGACGAATGAAAGGGGCGACGGTGCGTGTCTGCTTCTTACCATGACCGCCGCTCGTCTGTCGCCCCGAACCGCCGAGCATCTCTCGCCTCTCTGCTGCCGCTGCTCTCCCCTCAAACTCCTGCCGCAGACGCAGATCGGCGCTCTCCCCCTCTGCCGGGGATCAGCCTCAGCGGCGTCGGGACAAGTCTCTTCCCCGCATCTTCGTCCTGCTTTTAAGAGTCTGCCAGATCGCTGTGGGTCTTTTGTTGTTAGTAAAAAACAAAAAACAAAACAAAAAACCCCACAAACAAATAAATAAAATAATTTGGGGGGGGGAAAGCAGTAAAGTAAAATAAAGGCTCTCAGCGGTGATCCCGGCCTATCCTGGAGGATCCGAGGCTTTTCGAGCAGGGAGTCGGTGACTGTGAAATCCGCATTGGATAAACTACAACACACCGCTCACTCACTCACTCGCTCACTCACTCACTCACCCTCCCTCACTCTCCCAGGCCAACCACGCTGAGCTGCAAACACGCAGCAGGGGGAGAAGCGGGCGGACCGAGAGGAGAGGAGAGGAGAGGAGGAGAGGAGAGGAGAGGAGAGGAGAGGAGAGGAGAGGAGAGGAGAGGAGAGGAGGAGAGGAGAGGAGAGGAGAGGAGAGGAGAGGAGAGGAGAGGAGAGGAGAGGAGAGGAGAGGAGAGGAGAGGAGAGGAGAGGAGAGGAGAGGAGAGGAGAGGAGAGGAGAGGAGAGGAGAGGAGAGGAGAGGAGAGGAGAGGAGAGGAGAGGACAGGGACCGGGGCGCGTCTTTTGCCTCGTCAGCGCCTAACGTGACAGCATCCGCTGACTGAAGGCGTGAGCAAATATTCAAACACTCGCTGTTCAGTAAAACAAACTTTATTGATTCGTCAACAAAAGTGATATCTAATTGCTTGGGCCTTTTCTTTTCCTCTCCTTTTCATCCAGCCTGCCATTCAGGCGCAGCATTTCGGGGTCTGCCCGTCACCCACCTCCATGTCGTCCAACTGGTCACACAGATTGCACACGAGTTCTTCCATCCAAACGTAAACCTGCCAGAAAACCATCTTGTCATACGTTATTCGTTCACGTTTCCCTTTTTGTTTTGATACAAAATTGAATTGAATAATTCATCAAGAAAATCTTTAGATGAGTCCTCTCATTTCACCCTCTGGGCTTTCTCCCATTGAAGTGGATTCCTCTGGTAGAATTTCAAGCAAGGCCAATCACCAACCAGAAGGAGAACTTGAGATGGATGACATGGGTTTTCTGCATTGTTTTAGAGTTGCAGTCCGCCTGCAGTCTTAGCAACGTCCATTCGGCCTGCGTTGGCTCTACGCTTCCAAATGGATGGTCGTTTGCGGCCCAGGCAATTTTTGGTAAGCTTTATAGCGTCAAACTGGCTGATTATCTCAGGGTCAAACATTAAGACCTGGGTAAAATTTAAGACTTAAACAGAGCCCACACCTCCAGCGAGCAATCATTTCCCAATAGCCAAGGGTCCAGACCCTCTGAAGCAAAACATAGAGCTATATATAGGAGTTGGATTTTTGTCAGACTAGTTAAAGACCGGAATCACTGTTTTGATCGTAAAGAAATAATTCGAAAGGCCTGCCAAAAAACATGGGAGAGAATGGTAATAAGAGTTAATTAGCATGTAATCAACTCTTATTACCAGATTTGTCTACAACTCTGGTAATAAGATATTAATTTAGTTTTGAGAGAATATACCAGAGAAATCAATTGAAAGCAAATGCTCAAGTGGAATGTGATGTGAAGAAAAAGATGCTCTTCCTCAATTTTCTTTTCTGCTGAAGGCATAAATCCATCTGTAACACAGTTTGCAGAGTGTTACTGGTGGCCTTGCTGCACAGTGATCCAGGAATGACCTGCTGTATGGGATCTTATTGCCGTGGATCTTACATGGTCTCAGTATGGTACAGGGTGTGCACACGAGGCTTGTTAATAAAGCCAGTGTGTTTTTCCCTTTCGTTCAGCAGGAGTCTTCATTTAGTCTTTTTTTTTTTTTTTGGAATATCTCTGACACAAGCAGTCCAGCAGATGGCTATTTGGAAAAAAAGTTTGTATCTTCACCACAGGATTTTCAAATATGTGCAAAGTCTTTCTGGAAAGATTTCGATATATGCTTCCAAAAACAAGAGACTATAACGCAACTCATTCCAGCCTTGCATTTTGTTCATATCTACACCCACATATTTGTTGTTGTGCTTCCACTATCTCCATCTCTGCTGCAAGACTGGAATGTTTGACTAATTTCTGTTATTTATTGATCTATTTTTTTTTATCATTTTAACACTGAAGATGTGTTTTTTTTCTCACATCAAGTTACAAAGTGTTCCAGGTGTCTCCTGTACATACTGTAACCTTTTATTCGACACTCAGACACAATGCTTCCTTCAAACCTCATAACCTCTTGCATGCTCTCACTCGCCCAACACTTTGGTCTCACCAACGGTGGTCCTTTTTGTCAGGTGGTTGTGGAAGAGTCCTTCATTTTTTTTCAATTTGTTTTCTTTGCAGTTTCTGATTTTTGAACATTATGAAAGGACAGGGACTCGAAGAACTTGTGCTTCACGTCTTCGCGCCAATGTCAAAAAAGTTGCCAGATTTGTGGCTAGTTGCTTTTCCTGTAAATAAAAAGACGGCAGAGGGTCTTGAAAGTTCCTAAATAAAGCAACAAGTCGCTAAGTTGGGAACAGTGCTTTCCCTGGTCCTAACCACGCTCCCGATTAAACCCCTCCGCTTATCCCAACGCTTGGCCACGCCCCTCAGTATGTCTTGACTCCGCCCACTTTGGTGGAGCTTTCAGAATTTGTCTGTGGACGTGATTAAGCTTTCACAGAAGGTTTAGTTACACTTTAACGAGAACTACAGCTCTCCCAGGTACCAGGTCAGGGTCAGGAGGATGCATCTATGTGACCCCTTGACCTCCTATTTTATCAACAGTAGTCAAGGAAACTATAATGAACGGTTCAAGCATCAGAACTTTAGAAACCGACCCAGGAATGTCTCAGAGTGAAGGGGGAAAAAAAAATCTCAGTGATGCACTGTATGTGTCAAAACAAAACAACATAACTTACCATTTTGTGCAAATCTCCTCTGTAGGTCAAGAGGGTCTCTTCGTCTACGTCTGCAAGGTCTAAATTCGAACTACATTCAGCCGGTGACTCAAACTCCTTCGGGTGTTTGTCTTTGGAATGCTTGCCCGCCTGATTCGTTCTCCTACCCTTCGTTCCAGTGATCTGGGGACAAATTGTGCCGAGTTGCAGTTAAATACAGCTGCAATTTACAGAGCAAACAGAGACGTTAGCGCGTAGCTGTGCGAGCATCTGTCGAAGGTGGCTTGGAGTGGTACAGGTGCAAATAATTCACACCTTGGCATGCCGTCTGAGAGCAGGTGCACATTTGTCACAAACTGTTCCGTTTCCATGGCGCCCTATGAGTAATAAACTGTACCTCGCCCAATGACTCAACCTTTATACAGAGGAGAAAATTGCTCAGCAGAATATGAACAGATAAAGCTGCGTTGTCAATCTTCTGGTAAATGTCAAAGATGGTGAATAATAAGTAGTGAGCAGTTAGAGCAGAAGTAACATGACTAGGGTAAGAAAAGTCATGTTAAGTCCAGAAGGTTTATCCATAGTTGTTGCCTGCAGGAAAGTGTCACAAATGAATGGTCATTAAGGGGATTTGGAGACAGAAGGTCAGGGAATATTAATATTCACTTATAGTTTTGTCATCTTTTTGTGTTACAATGACACACACACACACACACACACATATATATATATTTATTTATTTATTTTTTAACTGAAATTTAAATAAATATATGAGAATAAGTGCTCTACTTGGTTTTAATCTAAAACATACAGTCCTAATAAAATTCACAGAAGTTGTAGCTGCAATATAGCAAAGTGTTGAAAGGCACTGTTGTGTAATTATTTTGTCTGAACAAGTCTCCTTGTTAAAAACTGAACAGCCACTGTGTTGCTAAGTTACTTTTACAACCCTGCAAAAGGACACAACTCTTGGCAGAAAGCCTTTATTTTCTACATTATTGGGCAAAATGTACTGACTTAGAAAGAAAGTAATTCTAAGGCTCTAGTGAAGAGAAATGAATATTGCAGATGAGTGCCTTTCTGAGGACGAGTGTGTGGTTATGTGGGGGCGGCAGTCAATAGTAACAACACACTTGCATAGCAGATGAATGGATGAAGTGGTTAAAGTGGAGACTGACTCATGATGGGATCGGTTTTACTGTTGGATTCGGTGATGTGATTTTTGTGTTTTTCACACTTGTAATACAAAGTGCTTTGGATTCTGCGGCAAAACAACTGTAAACACTCCTGAGTCTCTGTTCATGCCGGTTAGTGAGCTGCAAAGGCATTCGCCGACACACAAACACGGGCTCTCTTCTGCGCCACTCTGACACTGAGGTGCATTTACCTCAATCGGGCTGTCGAACTCTCTGGAGTCTGTTCTGCCGACGTCTTTCAGTTTTATTCTCACGCACTTCTGTATTACATCCGATGACTCTCTCCTGTCTTCGGTGGGCGACGGAGTACCCTCATCTAGGACGCAATGTAGAAAACAGGAATCCTGAACAGTAGAATATCTCATCTGATGTAAAAGCCCAAAACAAACAGTTGTTCTGTTAAAACTGAAGCAAATTTACTCAAATCTGTTGCAGCGGAGCTTTTTCCTCTTTTTTCCTCCCGCAAGGTTAATAGTATGATTTGGCTTTATCTCGGTTCAGATACATCCGACTATGCAACAATAACTACAAATGAAATTAGAAAGAATTATCCATCCTTATACTGTTCAAGATATTGTTTTTATATAGTATACAACATGGACGGCAGCTCTCTATTTGAAAATTTGATTCCTTCTAAGTGGAGTCCATCAGAACAGACAATAAGCAGGAAAATATGTAATTATGATATTATTGCTGAGTCCTGCAAAAAAAATTATATATATATATATATATATATATATATATATATATAAAAAAAAAAAAAAATTCCCTTCTCACCCACCGCGGGTGGTTCTTATCCTCTGAGCTCGGGTCCTCTACCAGAGGCCTGGGAGCTTGAGGGTTCTGCGCAGTATCTTGGCTGTGCCAAGGACTGCACATTTCTGGACTGAGATGTCTGATGTTGTTCCTGGGATCTGTTGTAGCCACTGCTCCAGTTTGGGGGTTACTGCCCCGAGGGCCCCGATGACCACAGGCACCACTGTGGTCTTCACCTTCCAGGCCCTCTCCAGTTCCTCCCTGAGGCCCTGGTATTTCTCTAGTTTCTCGTGCTCCTTTTTCCTGATGTTGCAATCACTTGGTATTGCTACATCTACCACAACGGCTTTCCTCTGATGTTTATCCACTACGACAATGTCTGGTTGGTTCGCCATTACCATTTTTGTCTGTCTGGATCTGGAAGTCCCACAGGATCTTAGCTCTGGCGTTCTCCACCACCTTTGGGGGTGTTTCCCACTTTGATCTTGGGGTTTCCAGTCCATATTCTGCACAGATGTTTCTGTACACTATGCCTGCCACTTGGTTATGTCGCTCCATGTACGCTTTCCCTGCCAGTATCTTGCACCCTGCTGTGATGTGCTGGACTGTCTCAGGGGCCTCCTTGCACAACCTACACCTTGGGTCTTGTCTGGTGTGGTAGATCTGGGCCTCTATTGCTCTGGTGTTTAGGGCCTGTTCCTGGGCTGCCAGGATGAGGGCCTCTGTGCTGTCCTTGAGTCCAGCTTTTTCCAGCCATTGGTAGGATTTACTGATATCAGCCACTTGGGTTATTTGCTGGTGGTACATCCCATGTAGGGGCTTGTCCTCCCATGATGGTATCTCTGGCACCTCAACCTCCGTTCCCTGTTGTCTGAGACATTCACTGAGCACATTGTCTGTTGAGGCTTTGTCCCTGATGTATTTATGGATCTTAGTTGTTTCGTCCTGGACAGTGGTTCTCACACTCACTAGTCCTCTGCCTCCTTCCTTGCGGCTCGTGTACAGTCTCAGGGTGCTGGATTTGGGATGGAACCCTCCATGCATTGTTAGTAGCTTTCTGGTCTTAATATCTGTGGCTTTTATCTCCTCCTTTGGCCAGCTAATTATTCCAGCAGGGTATCTGATTACTGGCAAGGCATAGCTGTTTATCGCACAGATTTTTTTCTTGCCATTGAGCTGGCTTCTCAGGACTTGCCTTATTCGTTGGAGGTATTTAGCTGTGGCTCCTTTCCTTGTGACCTCATCGAGGTTGCCATTTGCTTGTGGTATACCTAGGTACTTGTAACTGTCCTCTATGTCTGCTATTGTTCCTTCTGGGAGTGAGACCCCTTCTGTGTGGATGACCTTCCCCCTCTTTGTGACCAGCCGACCACATTTCTCTAGTCCGAATGACATCCCAATGTCAGTGCTGTAGATCCTGGTGGTGTGGATCAGTGAGTCGATGTCTCGCTCACACTTGGCGTACAGCTTGATGTCATCCATGTAGAGTAGGTGACTGATATTGGCCCCATTTTTTGAGTCTGTATCCGTAGCCAGTCTTGTTGATAACTTGGCTGAGGGGGTTCAGGCCTATGCAGACAGTAGCGGGGACAGAGCATCTCCTTGGTATATGCCACATTTGATGGACACTTGTGCAAGTGGTTTGCAGTTGGCTTCAAGGGTGGTTTTCCACAGCCTCATCGAGTTTGCAATGAAGGCTCTCAGAGTCCTGTTGATGTTATACATCTCTAAGCATTCAATGATCCAAGTATGCGGCATTGAGTCATAGGCTTTCTTGTAATCAATCCAAGCCATGCACAGGTTGGTGTGTCGGGTTTTGCAGTCTCGGGCAACTGTGCGGTCTACGAGGAGTTGGTGTTTGGCTCCTCTGGTATTTACACCGATACCCTTCTGTGCCGTGCTCATGTGTTTATCCATGTGTTTGCTTATCTTGGCCGCTATGATGCCTGACATGAGCTTCCAGGTTGTGGAGAGGCAGGTTATTGGTCGGTAGTTGGGTGGGACTGGACCCTTTGATGGATCCTTCTGGATTAGGATTGTCCGCCCTTCAGTTAACCATTCAGGGTGAGTCCCACTTTGTAGCAGCTGGTTCATTTGGGCTGCCATTCGCTCATGGAGAGCAGTGAGTTTCTTTAGCCAGTAGGCATGGATCATGTCAGGCCCTGGTGCTGTCCAGTTTTTCATACCTGAGACTCTTTCTTGGACATCTGTCACAGTGATGGTTACCGGGGCTTGCTCAGGGAGGTTGCTGTGGTCCTCTCGTAGAGAGATCAGCCACTGTGCATTGCTGTTGTGGGACGCCTCCCTTTCCCATATGCCTTTCCAGTATTGTTCAGTCTCCAGCCTTGGTGGGTCTGCTCTGTTGTTATTGTTACCCTGCCATTGAGAGTACACCTTAGCTGGTTGAGTGGAGAAGAGCCGGTTAATCCTTCTGGATTCATTCTCCCTTGTGTATCTCTTTAGGCGGCTGGACAAGGCTTGGAGCCTCTGTTTGGCAGTCTCGAGTGCTTCAGGTATGGGCATCTGCCTGTACTTTCTGGGTACTGGTCTTTTCATTGCACCCTTGTGGAGCTCTGACAGTTGGCTCACTTCCCTCCTTGTTACCTTGATTTTAGCCTCTAACCGTCTTTTCCATGGTGGGTATTGGGTCTCATGGTTGCTCTTATAGCCAAGTATCTCAAGGATCACTGATGCTGAGTTGTAGATCAGCTCATTGGTTTCTGTTATGGTGTTGGTAGGGATCGTTCTCAATGCTGCATTCACATTCTCAATGAGACTTTCAGATGGTACTTCACTCAGCCATTGTAATTGGCGCCGGGGAGGCCTGGTTGTCATTCGGGTCATGATTCTCTCTCTCAGGTCAGCAGCTGTCTCGTTCAGCTCTGTTTCGCTCATTGGGGCCGTGTATCCCCTCACTGGGTGGGACTTGTAGTTAAGTCCCCACAGTCCTGACATCCGGGTTCCTCCCTTTTGCCGTAGCATTTGTGTTGCCGTTTGCGGATGTTGGAACACTGAGCTACTAGTTGTTTAGCGCTTAGTGTTGACTGGGGATGTCGAAGTAACCATTCCTTCCCCAGTCTTTGCATGTAACCTCTCTCACTAGGGTTACTTGAGTAGTAGCATTCCAACAGATCCACATTTTCATCTCTCGCCCATTTCCGTCTTGTTCCAGTAGCCCATTTGTCATCAAGGTGCTCTGGTTCCCCAACACCTGACGCAGACCTTGTTTGGCCGGGCGACGTCTGAGCCGGCATGTTATGCAACTTAGTATCTCTCATGGTATGTAGGCAGTAGCTTGAAGGGTCGTGCCTAAGGGCCCAGACTGGATTCGACCCCTGCCCTCTCGGGTGATATACTGATGCCTTATGTATTGAGCTATCCAGTCAGCTATATATATATATATATATATATATATATATATATATATATATATAAAAATTTCAGTCATCAGATCTTTCGTTTTGTTTTTTTAATCTTTTAACAGCCTTGATTGGCGGTCAAAAAGTGTCATAAATGAATGAATGACTGAATAACTTAATTAGTTAAATCAGCATTTTGAACATACAAGCAAAACAGACGTTTTATCCAATTTAGGTTGTTGTTCTGGCCCTTTGGAGCTTTTCACAACCATATGGGACTTTTACTGTGTTTTTATGACGTTGTTTATTCTGTTAGGCTAAATGAGAAATGAGCGAAATGTTTAGGTTGTTTCGCTGATAGTTTTTTAAATGTTTTTTTTTTTTATCATAGAGATTTCCTCATCTTTTAACACAAGGGCTTGTATTTGTTGAACAGCATTTCTAAAATATTTTGCATTTCAACTTTGAATTAGATCTGCAGCTGACAATTATTTTAGTAAGTGATTTGTCATCGTTCTCGAGTAATAAAATAGAAAAATGGGATTTTTCATTCTACAGATTTTTCATTTATCTAACAGATTTTTATATTGCTTATTTTGAGCAATATAAAAAACGCAATAAAAAAAAATTAACCTTAATTTATTTTTTTAAATGAGAAAATAAACATTCTGTTTCCTAGATTGCAATAACATTGTATTAGTGCATTCTTGATAGTTATGCAAAGTATGCATCTGCAAATACAAAATTACTTCCAGACAAAAAAGGATTTTTATCTCATCTACAAAACGTACATATTTTTTGCACAATTTTGGCTTACTTACTACTATGAGGGGTATTGTTCTTTTGCCAAACGACATGTTTCAGAGTTTGCATACTCTACTTAACCATTATTCAATTTCTGAACTAGTTGACAATTATGTCAATAATCAGTTCATCACGACTAATCCAATTAACTGTTTCTGTCCTACCTTGATTCAAAGTAAAACCCAGTAAGGCATTGGAGAAATAGCGTATTCAAAACTACATTTTGAATAATGTAGTTTAATGAAATTTCTGAGCAGAAATCCAATCTATACTGTAATGCTGAACGCTTTTGTCGTAGAGCTGAGTGTCACAATGAGCTGGGATTATGAGTTCATGCCTCCTACCAGACCAAGTATCTTTCTCTGGAAGGTCCATCATAGCTCTAAGCATGACGGCATCAGTTCCCATTAAGTCCAGAAGGTTTATCCATAGTTGTCGCCTGCAGGAAGCACCACACACCACCATCACAACAAGTATTATTTTACAATTTGTAGGCGTTTTGCATGTTTGTGTGTTGTACTATACGTTGTACTATAGGCTTTACCCTGTAATGGCTGGTGTTACAAGGTGGTGTTTTCCAGCGGGAGGATCACAAAGTTGCAGATACAGAGAGTTGAGCTGGGAAAAGCTCTCTTCTTTGATAGGATCCTCATCAGGCAGAGACAATACAGCCTCCAGAATCACAACATAACAGGAGGATAAAAACAGAATATTATACACGTATTATAGATTACATAAACCTGTTTATGGCTTACTTTTGTTCTGTGATGTGCTGGTCTACACAACAATAATTCAACAATAGAAGAAGGCAGTATCCTCTCAGGAGGATTCAACCTGCACTTTCCGACTCTCCTGAAGGGCTCAAACAGCTGAGCGCAGTAACACAGAGTAGTCTTGCGTTGATGTCTGAAGCATTAAAATGACCAAAATCTGTTTGGGTTTTTTTCTAATGTATATCAGAAATTATTTTATGCATTTTGTTTTCTATAATAGCTCAAAGCAGTTACCTTGAAGTGTCATGTTAGGATTACCTGTCGAAGAGTGTTGAAACAGAGATCCCAGCTGCAGTCCGGATTCACCTGTTGCCACAGTGTCTTTAGGGCCTCTACTGGCTGGAAATGGTACTGCAACTAAACCCATAACAAGGGGATAAATATAACATTACTTTTAAGAGTTTACTTTTACATTTTCTTTTTTTATGCACCTATAATAATTACCTATAATATTACCAGATTTATGATACAATCCCGAAAGACAAATAAAGAAACAAAGTAAATACACATACTTTAATAAAAGGGGAAAAAAATATTTTCAGAACAGTAAAATAGTTTGTATTTTTTTAACCTTTTTTTCAAAAATGGTAATGGTTTCTCTAGTCACACAATTATAACCTAATAAACAAAATATTGAATTAGAATTCTAATATCTCATTAAAGCAATAGACACTGAATCCATGAATCAAGCAGAAAAGAAACTAACATTTGATATTGAACTCCAGCTTTTAAAGTGAAAGACAGCATCATCAGTTTTTGAGGAAAAAATATTATGTTTGATGAAAGGTTTTCTTGAATTTTAAAACATATGGACATGTAAATGTATAAAATGTCAGTTTATAAGTAAAAAAAATCTACATACATACATCTTTTAAAATGTGTTGAAAGTTTAACAAAGAAATGGAACATTATTTTTTATTCCAGTTCACTCATTAGCAGCAGGCAATTGTAGATGGTAGCTCTGACTATTTTACGAGAATCACGTGATTTATCTCAATTATAGAAAAGAAAAGAGGTAATGCTTCCAGCTAACTGTTTGGTTGCACTTCTTAAAGGAAGCTAACAAAACTGATCAATACACTTATAGGTGATGGTGGGGGTTTTTTCACTCACGTGGATAAAATTTCGTTCAAAGCCACTCTCCTTTGTTATCAATAATAAATAATGAGCTTGCCCCAAAGTTGCAATGAAACTAAACGGAGGTGGGCTAAAATGAATAGGAGTTGTAATAACAACTCCGCTTAGGAAGAACGGACATGATGGGCTAACCGCTCTCACGGCTTCAGCAGGCGAAGCGCACGATGAATGGATCCATTACTGGGTCGCCTCACACTGACTCACAAGCTGTGACTAGGGATCTGTAATGGACGCTGTCAAAGAAAAACCTCTGACAGGTCAGGACTGAGCTGAAAGGGATTAGAAGAAACGACTGACGTGCTTCAAATAACACGTGTCATGGTGCCGAGGATTAAAACAAGCAAGCAGCTCAGTCACCACAACATTAAAAATACCACAACAATGGTAGTGGCGGTGTGGCGTAGGGCCACATTCACGTGTTGTGGTGACAGCCTATTTTGGAGTATTCAAGCTTAACCACAAAGTTATATTTGGTCCATACTCATTTCATTCTAACAATTTTCAACAAAGTCATGGTCAGTACTTTAAAAGGTGTTCCAGAAGATTATGCTGAGACGCCTTTCTATCCATAGCAAACAGCAGTTTTGATGCGCACTTTAGATAAAATGGTTCAAACACTTAATTAGTGGTTACATCAAATTAAAGGTTAGTACTTGCAGTGGTACAGTAGGTGCATTCTGCAAGGTGGATAAAGCAATGAAGAAGGTGCACTATATAAAAATATGTTTGAACCTACGTAAAATCAACAGCTGATTGAGCGATGCTTGAACACAAATGGGTGTCAGAAGAGAACAAGCCAAATACATTCACATTATTTCTAATAATAACAAAGGAGGCTGACATTATGTTTTTGAAATAGTCCTGACCTCCAAACTGCAGAAAACTTCTAAAATGTGTTTAAAAGCCTCGTCTGCTTCAGAAAATCAGTCACTTGAAATGATATCAAACATTAAGACAGGACTATGTCAACGTTAACCAAATGCTATTTGTTGGCAAGTTGTGATAATACAAGAAAGTCAGTAAGCTGAGAAAAATAAATAATCAGTATGTCAGTATGTAATGTACCACGGGGTTTTTGTTCTGGAACTGCTGTTCTTCAGTGAGGTAAAGCTCTGCAGGTGACTTGGGCCTTTCAGGGATGTAGACGCCCCTGACCAGGCTGTTCAAAATCGATCGACAGTACTTTTCCACAGCAATCTTTTCCAGCTTGTTCTGTTAAGCACACACATGCACAAAACAAGGTGAAGCCACAAAAGTACACTTTTCTATGAATGGAAATGACTTTTTTGTTCCTTTCTGAAACACATTGTGCTGGTTAAGTTACCTCTAAGAAGCGCCTCAGATCGGCAGTTTTGTCCAGTTTGATGGCCACCCCACTCAGCCTGACCTGAATCGAGGCTCCTTGCAACAACACAGGGTGGGTGTTGAGCTGCCAAATTTCAGTCCAGAGACCTTGCTCCTCTGACTTAAATATGAACTCCACCTGCTGGGTTTCGCTGGGATGAATCACACCTGAGTTGAAGTGAAAACAGAAAAACCAAAAAATTTAAAATGCAAAAGGCTGAGTGTTGGAAGCGTTACAAGGGTTCACACGTGGACAAATACATGACGCGCAAACAGCAGCAGCAGGTGTTCCATCGCGTTTGTGAATCTGTACCAGAGGAGGATCTGAAGTAGAAGCGCACACGGTTCTTCTGCTGGTACAGGTGAGACAGACTTAGTTGTCTTGGGAGCTTCTTCCAGCTGTAAAAAATGACGGTGTTGCCTTCGTTGCGCAGCTCCAAGTTAGTTGAGACAATTTCCCCGGTCTGGGTTTTGAACAACACGGAGGTACAGAGTCCAACTGCTCCCTAATCGAACCAGGGGAAGAAAACCAAAGACATGGCATGCAGAGAGCAGACAACGCGTTACATCCAATGCATTAATCAATAACACTTTCATTAAAAGTCCATCAGTGCCTTTGCCAACAAAGTGAAATAGTGCCGACTAATGTTTCTGAATACAAATAGCAAATAACAAATGCAGGTTTTTAGTAGCCTTTCACTCTTGTGTTACAGAGTAATTGCATTGAATTTCCAGAACAGGAGACATTTTTTAAAATAAACTTTCTTGTTTTTAAGTTTAAAACTACTTTCTTTTCTACATTATTTCCACCAATATCCAATATCCAAAATGGAGCGATATTTATTTAAAAAAATATATCTATCGCTATTTTAAAACTTAACAATAGAAATAAAACAGTTTCTTTCAAAATAACAAAAATCCAAGTTGATATGTGTTATTTCCCCATAGGTCACATAACATTTGTGACTCTTAACAAGCTTTGCTTTGCTGGGTTTGGGGCAAAAATGGCTGTTTGGATTGTAAAAGTTGCAGACAACTGGCTTAGATGTGCAGAAGGTAATATTTATTTCCATTGTGAAACTATTCGGTGAAAAACGCAACCTGTCTGTGATGCTTTACTGATGCATGAAAGGCAGGAAAAGTGAAATTTAAGGTGTTGACCTTGCGTTTTACTCTCATAGAGAGACATTTGTCTTATCTCTTAGGAGATATCACGTCTCTCACCAGAGAATTTAAAAAAACAATGTCAGAACCTCATCAGATGTCGGGTGTCCAGTCCATTCAGCAAGCTGGCCGTTAATCCTCAAAGCAGGATAGGGCAAAGCCTGGACTTGGTCATCATCAGTTTCCTCCAGTGAGTCTCTGTCACTAAAAACATGAGAATACCAAGTCATTTCACTATCCAGTCCTCAGGAGAGGAGAGACGCTTTAGTGCAAACTCAGAGATAGCAAAGAACTAACTATTGGCTAAAATGATAATCACTTATTTAAAAAAAAAATCCCACATTTTTTAAGATCAATAACTTTACATTCTCTCTTAAGTCCCAGTCAGTTGCTGCAGACGGTGGCTGGAGGTTTCTTCCTGTTAAATAGGAAGTTGCTTTTTTCTGGTGTCACCGCTTGCTTACTCAGAGAAAAAATTACTGCAAAGTCAATAACTTCATACAATCAGCTGAGCTTCCTTAGACACATATATTTTATTGTACTTTTTTAATTGTATTTTAAATTGTACCTACTACTGCAATGCATGTAAATGGATTTTTATCTTTGAATTGTACTGACTTGATCTGATATATTTCTGGTTATCAACTGTACTACATTGTCCCTCATACCTTAAAGTAATATTTGCTGTGAAACGGAGCAACATGAATAAGCTGAACTGATTGTGATTGAAAGGAATGGCTTGTGACAGCCAAATTTAAGTGTAGTATTTAGCAAACTAAATGCATTTAGTTTGCTAAAAGACTGTCTTAGTTTTTCTTGCACTAAGACAGTGCAAAAATGCCTTATCTCTTATCCTGAGATAAGGCTGTTACTATTATTTACTTACTTTTTTTTGGAGAAAAATAAAATTTAACCAAAAATATGACTCTCTGCAACACGATGGGAAAGACATTATCCCAACAAGAAATAGTTAATGAAAAGCAAACCAAATACAGAGCACTTGTTACCATTGGTAGATATTTATACATATTTACCTGAATTATATCAAAAAATCTGCTGTTTATCAAAAAACAAACAAAAAAATAATAACACACCAACATTGACAGCATTTTTTTCTCAGCAAAAGAAAAAAATGATATAAAAAATAAATAAAAATAAGCTACTTTTTATCGTACAATTCCTCTTCCTCCATGACGAGATGTTCCTTCTTCTCCTTTTTCTCATTCTGCAGTAAGGGATCCTGGTGCTCCGACACGGAAGTGTGCGGCTTTCCGGTACCTATCACCTCCAGTTTACTCATATCCTGCAAACATTGTCACATAAAGTTGTTGTTGCCCTTGTTTACTTCAAATCAAAGGATATTACTTGTCCTGATGAGCCACAACATGAGGGCCACTCACATTTAACTGTACGCCTCTCATCGATCACACTATTCCTAAGGAAAATCTAAATTCTGGGATATACATCCTGGTTCTAGGATATTTCTAATGGATCGTTTGAGTGAGTTTCCCACTGATGGCTTTATATCCAATCGAAGTGGCCCTGCAGGCTGGGTTTATGTGTCTGCCTTAACACATTTAAATAACACAAAAAGCTACTTTATTTCTGTTACTTAATCAAAGAGTGAAGCTCTACTGGTATAATCACACACAAACTTGTGCATCTTAAAAAAGAATTTAATATTGTATGAAGCTACAGCATTTCTTGCCAGTCACCTCAGAAAGTGAAACTATTATGTAGACGCGCCACACACAGAGTGATATATTCCAAGCCTTTTCTTCATGTAATTTTGATGATTGTGGCTTAACGAGAACATAATGAAAACCCAAAATTCAGCGTCTCATAAAATTAGAATACTGTGAAAAGGTCATTATTGGAAACCTGTGGCGTAACACTCTAATCAGCTGCAAAGCACCTGCAAAGGTTACGAACGGTCTCTCAGTCTGTGCCACAATTACAGGGAAGACTGCCGACTCGGCACGTGTCCAGAAGTCATCGATACCTTCACGAGGAGGACAGGCCACAAAAGGTTGAATCAGCTGGTATGAGCAGAAGCTCTGTCTCCAAGCTTAATTGAGTGGTAGGCAAAGGTGCACCAGCAACAGGGATAACTGCAGCTTTGAAAGGACTGTCAAGTAAAAATCACTGAGCCAAGTCAGCTGTGGACCAGACGATCTGTCCCAAATCCTAAACATCGTATTAGCCACCTGCCCAACAGGATATTAGCACCCACCCCCAGACAACACGGTGGAGAGACACCAGCTGAGATCATTAAAAAAAATGGAGCTAATGTGAATAAACACTGCCGCCATCAACCTCTGTTATTAAGGGTGTTAATAGGATTAAGTGGGAACTGTCAGTGCATAGAAGTACATTTGTACCACCTCAGAACTGGCCGCCGCTGCTGATGGACTCATTGCAATGCAGGTAGAGTATAACTCTGTTACCCAACAGACTGCAGCCACGCTACCCAGCTCACTCCAGATTTCATAACTGCGATCGCTCTAAATTTGTTTGTGCATGAGCCCTAATTGCTGTTTTTATGCACCTTTAATTATTTTAGCAAGCCTTATGCACAAAATGTAATTTTAACAAGTAATGAACCACAATTAACTGCATAATTGCAGCACGTTGCTATTTGTTTTTTTTTTGTAGTGGAGTGGGAGTGTATTTATTCCCCATGAGCCTACAAGGTTACGTGAACTTGTGTGAATGCGCAAGGAAGCGCTGCGTTGTTCGCGTTCTGGAGCTTGTTTTCTCTGCAGAAAGCCTGGAACAGAACGATCGAAGCCTGTTGGCAAAGAAACCAAGTGAGGCAGCCTGTGGGGGTGTGAGCACTTCACAGAGCCAAGTGCTCCACCAATAGTTGTTTCTGTAATAACAAAATCAGACCATCAACAGCTATGAAATACATTAATTTATGTACATTGTGTGGGAAATGATGATTTAGGGAAACAAATATCTCAGGTAACTTTTCTTTCTAAATCGATGGACTATTTGGAAAAGTAAACTCAAATAAACGCTAAAAAAAACCCCAAGATATCATATTGATTGTGTAAAAATGAGGCTCAAAACGGTTAATTAAAGTATTTTTATTGCTAAATTCCAGAATAATCACAGGTTTGTATTGACTTTCTTTGCATTCAAAAGTATGCATCTAATTTGTATGGATTGCTTTTTTAAAGCGTGTGGCTTTGGTCTAACATGTTTACATAAAACCTCTACAATGTTCTTAGTGTTGAAACCGTGTCTTTCCCAAAATATTTAAATTGCAACGTAATCCTATGGGTGTTGACTTCCGAATTTGAAACAAGTAATTAAAAAAATGAAGACTCTCTGAATAAATAGTATGACAACCTGTATTATTATCGCCTTTAGTTCAACTGTATAAAATGTGTTGGAAAAAGTTTTCTCTGTTGCTTCACAGAAGTTTAAAATCTCAAACCGTAAAGGACTAACCTGTAGAAATGATGGATGTTTGTGCCTGTGTGATTTATTACTTTCATGTTAGGCTTCTCACAAAAGCCTTGAAACCAAACCAAATTAGGCAATAAACAAAACGGGTTTATGAAGCAATAACTGGCAACTGACATTTTCTGAATCAGGTAAATTGGTTAGCTAAAAGCATCCTGAAAGGAATAGGCCCATGTCTCATTTTATTTGACATCTGAATTAGTCATTGGTCATTCTCTCGCTGCTGTCTCCGAGAGAAAATCACACCTGATTAATCATGGCAACAAATACGGATACTTGTTCATTTCTGTGTGGGTTCATTTGTGAATATTAACCCTGCAGTCATCTTAAAAGCTGAAATCAGTTGTGGTAAAAGAAAACATAGTTATTATCGCCTTTAGTTCAATTTATCATTTTAAGTCACAATACACAGCTCCATTTTTGACAAAAACAATTACAGCACATTATGGCCACTGTCGCATAAAAACTATGATTATATGAGCTTGTATTCAACATGTTTAAATAAAAAGGTAGCTTTAGGTTGTACTTGTTTTCATTGGTAATTGAGAACAGGAAAAAAAAATGTCTTACTAGATTTTTTATGTCCACGTCGTGCACAATTTGTCCAAGTTCCTGTGTCTTGTGTTGCAGGTAAGCACTCTGAGCCCAAGCTTGAGTAGCTGGACGCTCAATCTCAGTAGAAACGATTCCTGAAAGATGAAAAATGTCCCCCAAAAGGAGGGGGAAGAAGACGATTCTGTATGGGCTTAAATTGTTAAGTTTTCCATTTACTCCAATTTGACCATTAAAGAATTCCATAACAAACAAACTATGTTTACCCATTTCCCTGTGTATGGTGTCTGGGTGTCCCACGTGTGTGATTGGTTTCTTTAGGCCTCGCTCGGTCCGAGTCAGCGTCGTTGCGATACCGGTCAGTTCATCGCCAAGACGCTGCGGGAGGCTCCAAAACTCGCCGCCCACAGTATAACCCTTCCAAAGAAAAAGAGACGCAGGCGTGAAGAAAGTGAAGGAGTGGAAACTTGGCAGGCCGTTAAAATCAGATGTGTGTCATACGTATCCGGGGTAGACGAGCGGCATGACTTGATTTAGAATTTCCTTCTGCTCCGTGGTCTCTCTGTAATGCTTGTCCTGATTCATCAGCAGGTTTTCCACAGGCCAGTTGAGTGAGTCTGACAAGAGCAAATGTACAGATTTCATTTTCCTCGTCTTTCGAGTTGAGAAGCATGTTCACTCTTCTTCGAAAGTAGAACTGCCGATGCAAAATTCTCAAGAACCTTACCAGACAATTCTTTCTGCTTCCGTCTGCGATATGACATGTGTTTGTCCCAGTTCTGAAGCGCATTGCTCTGGTGGGAAATCTCTTCATCCCTGCTCTCTGTGCGAGGCTCCATGTTGGCTTCAGAGGCGGGATCTGTCAAAGGCTTCGGAAAGTGCTTCAACAGCTTGTTTTGAGAGGGGAAAAGAAAAAAACCCAGTGGATTTGTAGCATTTAAGTTAAACAGACGCAAATAATAATAATAATAAAAGTGTTCTCAAGTTACATGTTTCTCCCCCCTGGCCTCCAAATACGTTCGAAAATCATCTAAGCTGCCAAGGATGCTGTGCGGAAGAATCATCCCGTGCTCGTCAAATCGAAGGTATTCTGCAGAAGAACAGATTTAAGGGGGGGAAAAGAACTATACCTTACAGCCTAAAATATTGACTTTAACATCCACACATAGCTGGATCAATATTTTAACAAGAACATGCTTGCTGGAGTAAAGTAAAAAGAACCTGAAAAGTCCACGTGCTGAGACTCTTTCGCATTTCCGTCTTCATTTAGTACTTCTGCCTCTGCCGATGCAAAATTCTCAAGAAGTTTGCATGTCGTGAATAAGTCCTCCAAAAAGCTTGGATTACTTTTTGGAGGCTTTGGTTTGAGAATCTACAATCACATACCAAATTAGGTCGCTAAGCCATAAAACTGTTTTAAAGTACTAGAAGGTACTGCTGAAATTCACCTGCTCACTGCATTGCGGACAAGAAGACTGGAAACTCCCGGCTGCATTTGTGGCATCCGGATCATCTGATCTGGTCGATTCTTCCTGCATTTTCACCTTCTGGAATAAATCGAAGAACAATGCAGATTCATTTGCAGAATTTAAATAAAACCTTCTGAAGCTGTCCCTTGATGTTTACCCCCACATAAACTTCCTTTTAGCGTTTCACTTTCAACATATGTTATTGAAAGTGCACAATTGGGAAGTAATTTAATCTCACTATAAATCAGTACAAATCCAACTATTCTGTGAAGGCCTCAGAGGTTCGCAGAGAACATCAGAGGGCAAAAAGCATCTTTAAATATCAAATTGCAGACAGGTCAGGTAGGAAGCTGCAGCGATTTACAGCAAAGTTGGGTTATAATATGATATTCCAAACCCACAGAGAACTGCTCCTCTGAAGATAAAATGAGAATGGAACAAGTGCAAACTTACCAACACAGAACCACAAGCCTAAACTGATAGGCCAGGCCGGGCAAGCATGCTTTCTCATGAATCAGAATTAGCATACTCACTTTTAAAAGTTGCTACAGGGGCAGTAGCACATGGTCCAGATTTTTGAGGGGGGTCCCAAATATTTCTTTCTGTTAAATATTCAAGTCATTGAAATTTATGAAGCTCCTGTTGGAGCTACATGGGAGTTTTTCCCAAAGAAAAACTCCCATGTTTCTTTCCTAAGCAGAGCGGAAGCAGTCTTCAGTCTTCCTCTCTGCTTCGGAGACGTTTAAAACAAACATTGCATCAATTCACACCTGCTGACGAACAGGATAACATGTTAATCGAACTAGTAAAATCATTTTCCATAATAGATTGGGCACCAAAACTGGCTCCAGCCCAGGGCCCAAAGCCCTTGTAAGTCTGGACCTGTATATATTTCCAAAGGCATCAGAACTTTTGCCAGAGCTTCTTATTTTTGTGCCTGTTTTTTTTTTTTTTTTTTTA